TTGTGTATGTGCTATTCATGGTTGTACGTGGGCTGGGATACTGCCAGGGCGCCCACACCTAGACAGGAGGAGGAGGACGATTAGGGTCCTCAACCAAAGCCTTTGGCTCAAAAGCCTAACCGCAAGGCAGCGGTGTTTGGCGGGAAATGCAAATGCATTACCATTTCTACGGAACAAGTCGCCACATGTTCCAACCCCCAACCTGGAGGGCCAGGAGACTGTGTTCGTCAGACCTCTAACCATTGACCAACCTAGTATGGGAGACTCTGTGAGTGTCGCGGGACACTCTCCAGTATAGCTCAATGGATCGATGATGTGCGCAAACCGTCACACCACGGTAAGGTTCAGTCTTTTCGTGACGGAAATTTAACACTGGTCAGCAAACGATGGGGTTTATGCTTGTCATTCACACATGCTAAAATACTGAAGTCAAGCATGACAGCTACCTTGCAGTGGAGATCATTGCATTTATTGACAAACGGAGGCTTTTCACCATTCGCTTCTGGCTTTGATACTAAATTTCGATTGAAATTATTCAGTTCATTCACCATTCTCTTGTACATTCAACATTCACGGAAAATCGGTTTGATCACATTGTCGCGATTTCTTTCGAAAAACTCACTGATTGCTCAGTAAAAGTTGAAAAGGCCAAAAAAATTGCAAGACTCTCACACCCAAATCACAGCACCTGATTGTGTTTTCTCTTGGTTTACGTCAACACCGAGTCATGCAACCAAAATGTCTGCAGCCCCCTGAGGTATTTTACTGGGGATTTCTCAGCATTTTGGGGCGTTGTTCTCTAAGTGTCTTTAAGCTACAAGTCAATAAATTGAGTTCCCGAGCACTTGGTGTTTTCGTGTGAAACTATTTTGGTGCTTCTGCGCGAGACTCGTGATTTTCTTGATCGACTAGTCTGATTGTGCAAAGTATGTCAAGAACTGTGCTTAACTTCCCATTGAATTCTAGATGCTCACAATAGGTACAGCTTGACCTGTTCATCAACTTCTTTCGGCTTGTGATATTAAAGCTAATA